CAAAAGCAAGTCATTTGTCAGTACTGCTATGTGTCTGTTGGCACCACCAACTTATCTGACGGACTTTGTTGGTAGATAATAACATTCTATTTGGCTTTGACTATTGTTAATACATTTTCAACTCATTTTTCGTTTTATAAATATCACAATATTTATTGCAAAAATTTCAGATGTTTTCCAGCTCTAGACTGGACTAAGCACCCATGTTTTTAGAATGCTTCCCTGCAGTATGGACTCTAATACAGCTACTTGTGCCAATCACCACCCCAAATATGAAGCCTGTGAGGTTGGCTGAGGCTTCCCAAAAGCCAGGAGATACTGTTCCACTCTGCGGTATATTTGTGTTTAACACAAAGTGGGATTTAACATATTAGCACCGGATGGACATTTGCAAACAGAACAGAGACAATTCTCTTTTCATAATTCATCCAAAAGTGGATGTCTGACACCTTCTCACACTTCACTGTAAACCAGCAAAGTGCTAAGAATTCCAACTGTCTACATACAAGTTAATCCCTGTCAATTTTCTCTATTTCTAATCTTTAAGCAGTGGAGTATTCTTCATTTATTAGAAACATATTTTTCTTTAATTTAATCACGATTTGAGCAATGCACTGGAGGGACTTTTCCATGCAAGCCTTGGATTGCCTGCCAGAAGAACATGGAACAGACTAAGCTGATTACACCCTGGTGATGTGATTCATGACACTAGAACTTTGCTTCCAGGCCAAGCAGGTCCTGGGAACTCAGCAATAGCATGGAAGTTATTATTTTCCTCTCCTGGGGTGTCTCCTATTCAACCTGGCTGATTGGAGGACAGAGATTTACGTACATATCACTATTCATTTATGAAACACTCTGGCCAAAACATTAAAAATATTTATTGCATTATATTTGTTGTATTATATATTTAGCTTTTGACGCAGCTAATTTTAGGCTTATGATGGAATAATATAGATTTGCCGTATGATTTCTTGTGTGTGCGTGAGAGTCAGAAAGCGTGTCATACATAGTGCTGGCAATTCTGCTTTGTGTGTGATTGTGCCCTGTAATGGGTTGGTGCCCCATCCTGGGTTATTCCCTACCTTGTGCCGATAGCTTCCAGGAAAGGCTCCCCCCCCCGATACCCAGCATAGGACAAGGGAGTATAGGAAATGGTTAGATGATTTTGTTTTACATATTCAGTCTCAACTATCTAATTCAATGTTGGTAGACCAGGCTGTTTGCATTAACAAGCAAGTATATCTAACTATAGGTGAATCAATTGATAAACCCAAATCTTCCTATTTATGGATTCAACATTCAAGAGGTTTATTTGTCACGTACACAGTTGTACAAATACAACATGTAGTGAAATGTAACCCTGGTCGCTACGAGCAACTGTGCATGATAATAGATTAATATATAAAAACAATATAAAATAAAAATATATAAAATATATTCAGCTGTACATAATCTATACATAAGTGATAAGGTAAAAGTGACTGTGCTGTGCAATATAAGCGCAGTGTGCAAGGGACCTGACTAATGTACCGACAATTTAGACAGTATGAACTGAATGTAAGCAGTACTCATAGGATTATGGGCAAACGTACACAGTGTGCACAGAGTGATGTCAGTGTTACAGTGACTGAAGAGTCATTGTAGAGTCCGGTGGAAGACCTAGGGGCACTGAGACTTGTCCTGGTTTAGGAGCCTTATGACCTGGGAAAAATAGCTCCTCCTTGACCTTTCAGTTCTGGTCATAAGGCTGCAGAACCGTTTGCCTGAATTCAGCAGGCAAACTGGAGAGTTATTGGGGTGGGAGGGACTTAAACCCTTGAATGCTAAAGATGGATTTTAGCTAGCTCTCAAAAACAGCCATCAGTTGACATTAGTTGGTAAGAAGAGACTATCATCGTGTAAAGCAAGGTTCTGTACTTCCGGCTAAACGTTGATATAAGACAGCATGGCTTTGTGCAAACAAAATGTGTTGATTATTGTAAAATCTCTTTGGTGCACATCTTGGCATAATTCAATTTAAATGTTTACTAGATAATATTAACCTGGGCCCTGTTTCACAAAGCAGTATTTCTTGCTTAACTGGATAACTTGACGGATTTAAGGTAGTCTGGGCTAAATAGACTTCATCTTCATTCACTTACATTTAGCCCAGGCTACCTTAAATATGACAAGTTATCCAGCTAAGTAAGAAATCATGGGGGGTATTCCATGAAAGTAGCTAAAAAAAGGCAGACTTTCCCGATAAAGTCAGACTCAACCTATCTCCATCTCTAAACTTAGCCTCACATCGTTCCACAAACGCAGTTCAGTTTTAATTAATCGAGGTTCATTCAAGACAGACTTGCATAGTCTCACTTAGCGCGCACACCCGTGCTATTTAAGAGGCCCAAATAAATGGATGAACAATAGATCAACCAAATGAGTCGGAAAGCCTGTAAAACGAGAGCGGTGTTTCTTTCTGCCGCAGAATAAACGCTGCTGATGGAGCTGTATGAAAAATACAAAGATGTAATCATTAAAAAAGGCAATACTGTGGCCATAAACACAGCCAGGGAGTTGGTTTGGCAATGAATTGCAGAGAGAATAAATGCATAAGTTACGTAAATGTTACAAGTGCTTAGTACAGTGGCATGGTGGCACAGTAATATATGCTGTCGCCTTATGATGTGAAAGTTGCTGGTTCAAGCCCCATAACCAACTGGGAACTTTCGGGGTTGATTTCACTTGTCATTATTACTGTATAATACTATTTGAGCTCCATAAAATACTTTAAATCACATCCATGTGAAAAATTCTGCACAAATAACCATATGTTTTCTTTGCTATTTTAGTAGTAAACTTTCAAAGTAGACAGTGACTAAAATATAAATATATCTTCCTGTTCATATTATTTTAACGGATTTTTTTTTCCCAATTACAGTCATTGCATTTCATGTTTCACCTTTGTAATATGCGTACGCTTTTATTTTACAGTAAAATACCGTCATAACGGACTTCAAGGGACCTGGCACAACAGTCCGTTACATCCAGAGTTGCTGTATGCCCAGAATACAAATATAGGACACCAAATTGACTCATGCCACACCTCAGCAGACACACTTGTGGTATAGATTATTATATTGTACATGTAGTAATCCAACTTTACCTGTCCAGGGACTATTAATAATCCCGACTACGTACGTATCTGCGCTGGATATCACCGGCACTCCACAATTAAGCCTTGTAGGTGGAACTGCATGTCCGTTATAGCCGAACAAAACTACAGCTAAAAGCGGCCCTGGGGACCAAATAGTTTGTCCATTATAAGCGAAATTCTGTTATATGCGAGTCCGCTATATCCGATGCTTTTTCTGCATGTTCTTAAAGGTGCCGGTGTTCTGTTGCGTTGAGCTACTTTGTCGAGTTAGGCTACCGTAGTGCTAATCGATAGCCCTAACCCTAACTCTTACCCTAACCCTAACCACCCAAAAACCCCTAAAACCCTTACCTTAACCCTAACCCTAACCCCTAAAACCTAACCCTAATTCCAAAGACGGTGGAACTGCACATGCGCCGAAAGGCTCAATAGCACGTTTCGATAGGTACATGTAGCTCAACTCGTCAGAACACCGGGACCAGCGGACCTCGTCCGTTATGGACGATATTCCGTTATAAGCGAGTCCACTATAACGGGATTTTACTGTAATTATTTTGGAATTAATTGGAATGCTAAGACGTGATTTTATAGGCTTTATTATATTGATTATATAGTAATCTCAGCTCTGTTCTCTATATTATGGAATTATCACGCGGAGCTTTACTTCAGAAAAGATGGTTTTTACTCTCTGCTTTCTCGTCTTGCTTTTACTCACAGCACTGACTACAGGGTTCCATTTTTTATATACGTATATACAAGACTCATTCTCCCGCTAACTCAAACAAAATCATGTCATTTTGGTACACCTTACAGATTAACAAAAAAATTCTATCAGATAATGTAAAATACAATGTCAGATGAGGACATATAATTCAACAGGTTATATGACATGAATAGTAAGATCGCGGAATTTTGTCCAACGTAACGATTTTTTGGGAATCTGTTCCCACACGTCGGACGTTCTTTGAAGGCTTGTTTGCAGGCCTAAATTACCATGGTAATTCAGCGAGGATTCATTTAAGACACGTTGATGGAACGGAACTCTCACTTAAGGAAGACTGACTTGTCGAAATATGTCAGACTTTCCTTTAAGCCTGCTTCATGGAATACCCCCCAGCTTCTTGAAACAGGCCCCTGTATGTCAGGCTCATTCCCTGCCTTATCTGTCATTTCTCCATATGGCCAAGGTGGCACTGGACATCCTGTCCTTTTCTCTGTCTTTCCTTAGGTTTAGCACCCTTGTCTCTTCCTACTGGCCCCCTGCATGGCTAATTGGGCTAAGCGTGTGGCTGAGACCCTGTATCCCTGATCAGAGGGAGAAAAAATAACAATAACAAACACATAAACAAACAAACAAATAGACTGTTTGTGACCCCTCCAAGGTTCAATACTATACATATGGCTGTTGCTAGTTTGAAATTGCCAGATGCTAAGGCAAAGAAATGTAAATGTATATAGCAGCCATTGGTATATTAATTTAATTTATCGACCTCCTGGCATTCAGCTGCATTATGGGTAAAACCTGATTTATTTACAAAATAAGCTATTAAAACCGGACTTGCCTACCATCTCGTTTAGGTAGGTTAAACAGGGCTGTACAGTTTGACTGCATTTTAGTCAAACCATACAGCCCTGTTTAACCTGCCTAAACGAGATGGTACACAAGTCAGTAAATTACGTCAGTAAATCATTTTGGTATTTAATCATTGACCAAAGGCTCTGATCCTCAGCCTGAAATACTTGGACGCACTTATATTGTTTCTGTTAAGTAACATTCATTAGAATAAAGATTCTAATTAGATATTTGTTATAAAATTGTTGAAATTGTAGTTTTAGGTTCACATGTTACAAGAAGGACACATTTAGGTAAAAACATATTTATTGGCTTTCACATTTACAGTTGATCTAACTAGTACTTCTATAAATTGTACAGGTTGGAGAGTCTGGGATGAGTATGGATTAGAGGGGTGGAGCAAGTGACAGGGCTGTCTGGGGAATACAATGCTGTTGTTCTGAGAGTCTCCCTTATTTTGGATACATGATGAAGGGATATTGTGAAAAACTTCAATCCAGAATATTAAAAATTGAATAATTTGTTTTAGGCAAATTTCTGTTAAAGAAGTTTCTGCAGAAAATTCAGCGTAATGAAACAAAGAGAAAAGGGGTTTTGGTGCAGTGGCTGTGTCAGCCGCTGAACATGTCCAGAATTCATGGTTTGAATCCCATCTCTGCTCTCTGTGTGAAATTTGCAAGTCTCTTGGGGTCTCTAATGTGACCACAGTGTGTGGCCATGGCTGCATTGAGCAATAGGCAATTAGGCACTCCGTTTATAGCTGGGACTGCCTGTCATATCAAAAAAATGACAACCTAAAAGTACAATGAGGAAAGAATCCTAATGTGAAGAGATACAAAGGCCTAGCAGGGAGCGGCTTGCACATATAAAAAAATTCTTGCTCTCCTTTTAGTGGTCGGGAGCTCCCACCAGGAACAAGTGAATTGCTCACCTCTGTGAGTTCAATTGTCCATGTGGGGCTCCTTTTTTTGAGCCCAGCGTGTGCTCGACGGACAGCACATTCCTGACTGTGGCCTGCATCGGCACTGGAAGCCATGTGCCAGTGGTGATGGGAAAAGCTTCATGGCCGCTAAACAAGGCACAGCGATAGAAGAAACGTGGAAAAAGATTCTCACACCTGAATATTCTGGTGTCAAAGGGGCACAATGGGATCGGTGCATAAAGGACTACCTTATCCATCCAAGCAGACAGGTTTATTTCCAACCCAAATGTCAGTCTTTCAGACTCAGATATCACTATGTCATTATTCTATTTCAGGGAGGCAGTAAAAAGTATTGTTATTCTTACTTCATTTCCTGATGCCTCAAACAACTAAAACTGTTCTTGATTTGACATCACAAAGAAGGTGCTCTGACCATCCAGCTAAATTTAATGATTAGTATGTGTGATTGTATACCATGAAAACAATATACAAAATACTACATTTATTTTGTGAACTGCTCATATTAGGATGAACTAGTAAAGGGCTTCAGATTTGTATAACTTACTGGACAACTGGAATCTTTGTGACGGGAGTTATACTGATGAGTCTGATAGGCAGACTTGAAAGGACTTAAATAGTACTGTAATACAGATTGAGAATAACTGTATGGTTGTACACACCTGCTTTCATGGAGACATGCCCTGGATGCCCCAAAGAAAAATTAACTCACTCAAACTGGGTTCCCAGTTTTAGGGTCAGTATTCAACACAGTCTGCAGATCTCTCTGCTGCACTCACATCTTAATCAGCTAATCACTAGCTTTAGTAGCTGTGTTTGAGCAGAAAAATCTGCACTATTGGATTCTGACCCTCCAGGCCCGGAATAGGGGAACCCAGGCCTAGAATATAGATTCAGTTGGATATATTCAACATTGTCAGTCACAACCACATAACTCCAAACACAGTGTAGAGAGGAGCGGGCTGTGTGCATTAACAAGCAGGTATAGCTGATAAACTGAACGCCAAGTATATTTCACTAAAACAGGAATTCAGACATTGAGAATAAATACTCAAAGAAATTCTACATCTAGAAAATTTAGACCTGCAACAAACAGATTACTATTACTACTCTAAAACTGTTTATTATTTAATGGAGTAACACTTTATTTAGTTAATCTGCCTATAAAAGGTTAACAGAGTATTTGTAACATCTGAAAAACTTTTTTTGCTGTGTCTGTAGATGTTTAACAGAATACACCGCATACAGAGTATATGCAGAGATGTTAAGTCATTTTTTCCAAGTCCAAATCAAGTCTCAAGTCTGTACTTGAGTCCAAGACAAGTCTCAAGTCTGTACTTGAGTCCAAGTCAAGTCTCAAGTCTGTACTTGAGTCCGAGTCCAAGTCAAGTCTCAAGTCTCAAATGACTGAAATGAACGTTCTCTCATCAGATGCTATCTGAGATAATACTGCCTATTCTAAACAGCGATTAATGCATAGGATTAACGTTACATCAATAGACTACATCCATACATACTCTGCAGCCATCTGGTAAATGGTGGCAGAGTATAGGGCTTCTACTGGTCTGCTACTTGCTGGTAGCCTAGACTGGAACATAGTGAGACGTTAATCAAATAAAACGGGTGTCTGCACACATGCGTTACGTTGCGTGTAATATCAAGGGAAGGAAATATTCAGTCTACCTCCGATTTTCCCATAATTTACACATTGGAAAAACTGAAATGAATGAAATAATTAAATAAATAATTCCATGAAATGAACATTGTTCACGAGTCACAACACCCATGTCCAAGTCAAGTCTCAAGTCGTTGAGGGCAAGTCTAAAGTCAAGTCACAAGTCTTTGTGCGATTTGAGTCCCCATCTCTGAGTATATGTAACGATACAGGAACATAGAGTACCTACATATTCTTAGAATAATTTAATTCATTTTGACTAGTCACTCAACCAATGTTAAATGAATTGCTGAATCGTAACTAATAAGTCGTTGAAATGTTACAAATACTCTGTGTACCTTCTGTAGGCGGACTATCCAAATAATATTTTACCTGTACTAATATAAACAGTAAAAACTAATATTATTAAAGCACAATATTACAATTATAATTCCAGAAAGACAACTAACTTAAGACAACCAACTAAAGACAACAGACTTACGCATAAATATGTATAAAAGGTACATGTATAATACATTTAAAAATTTATATTAATAATAAAAATGAAGAATAATAAAAATATATGTAAAAAGTGGAACATTCCATGAAATTAGCATTCGAAGTGTAGACATGCAGATGTGAATAATACTGATTGCTAAGTATAGAGCAGGATGGTCTGGCCAGTGGTGTTCAGCAGCTTCAGAACCAATCTGGCCTGATCAGCTAGATCACTCATCTTCCTGTGGAGCTACAGCCCCCTTCTTGAAGTTGAGGTAGTTTCTCTTTTTCCTTCGTCCTTTCTTCGGTGCTGTGCCTGCCAAATCAGTCACCTCAGGCTGCAGCTTGAAGACAAACACCTTTCCCTCTGTGTCAGAGGGGCTCCAGCTCTGGGTGGCTTGTGTGCTCACACTGACATCCACTTCCATATCCTGGCCAGAAGCCTGTCTCGCATCTGCAATCTCACGCTCCGATGTTGAAGCTGGGTCGGGACGCGGCACTGATGGTCTGCCTGACACCTCTAGGGGTTTCTCCTCGACCAAAATTTGATGGGTGCTTCCGGAACTCTCGGCTCGTGGAGGAGAGAAGAGCTTCTCCAGAAGGCTTTGTCTCTTCTTCAGGATCCTAAATATTCAACACAAATGCAGATAACTGTATAGCAAACAAAACACAACAAACTATAGATCATCAGGGATGACAATGACAGAGCCTGAGCTTGCTAGTCTTTGTACGGGATTATGTACAGCACACATGCAGTTTTTTTTTATTTACAATAAGTGTGTGTGTGTGTGTGTGTATATATATATATATGTGTGTGTGTGTGTGTGTCTCTGTGTGTGTGTGTGCGCGTATATATATTATATACACACACACTACAAGCAAGAGGTTTGGGCCCATCCTGTGATTAAAAAAAAAAATGATACACTGCTTTGTCAAACTTTTATTACAAGAAAATTTTAGAGATACTTAAAACAAATGTAACTAACAGGTTTTTGGTATTTTATAGCTTGTAAAAGTGATGTAGTCGAAACCGAGACCAAGTCATTACCAAGACCAGAATATATAGAGACAGAGACAAGGCCAAGACCAAGGCAGGGCTAGTCCAAGTCAAGATCAGAAAGACTACTTAACACTACACACTATAAAATGTGGAGCATAGGCACCAACTTGGAGTAGGCAATATGGCCTAAAATCTGTGTCACAGTATACAATTTGAACCATGCATGTTTTTTCTTAAAATTTCAATACAGATGTTTCTGTACAATTGTAATATTTTTTTAAATAAGACACATCTTATTGGTTGCACTTTGAAGCAGGACGTTTTGTACTGTGTTACCCTTTGAACCAAATCTATTTTTGAGTGTTTTTCAACCCCTTTAGGCTTAATACATTGTAGGTACATGAGTTAGTCACATATGCGTTATGGTTTTGTTATCAGGACATTCTGTGCTACTCAGATATGATATAATTTGATGTCACACAGTCTTGATATCGTCTTTCTTATGAGGAAAAACTACTCACGCCTATTGACATTTCTCAATTTTTAGTCTCATCTAATATAAACTTTTGCAGGCACTACAAATATAATCTTATAAATGTTGAGATTAAAGTCTCTATGATGTGGGAATAAAATGTATCACTGGGGACCTTTCTATGGCTTAGTATTATGAAGGAATACATGGTTAGTGCCAGGTGGGAATGAATATCTTTGATTTTGCATCCATTTGATAATTTGCTGAAAGTATCCGATAGACAATGCATGGTTTTACGTATTTATATATATTTATTTCTTTATAACATCTGAAAGGAATTGAAATACTAAAAGTATTGTTCAGTTTGATCCACTGAATAAACACAGACATAACAGATGGTTTCAGAGTCTAATGCTGAATGTTTATCGCTATTGTTTTTCCGCCTATATACACTATGATTGATAAAGTGAATTGAGAATGAAACTTTTAGTCAGCATTTTACCCTCAAACAACAAACTAATGCTGTAGCACATCATTATGTTTACATGTAGGAAGTGTTCCAATTACACAATGGGCGCATTTTATTTAGACTGTTTTGATGCAGTTGACCTCAAACAAAGATATACAAAATTTTGTGAATAAATATTATGAAAATAAAATAATTTTCTTCCTAATAAAGGATGCCGTGTTTTGTTGTTATTTCTACTAGAACTACAGCCCATTTCTGAATGTTTTTCTATCCATTTATTTATAGGCTTATAATAAATTCTAAAATAAATATTTTGCTAAAATAAATATAAAAATATTTTGCTAACACTGCAGCCTATATTCATAAAGTCTAAGAGCTGTTCTTATAATGCATTGTAACATTCATAAAGTATTATAGACATAAGGCATGTAACGATGAATCGCGAATCGGTTAAAAATCGATGTAAATGCATGACAATTTAAACCGGCTGATGTGGAAAATGAATCACTTCTTTAGGAGTACTTCACAGTATTTTACTTAACAGAAAAACTGGGGTAATATTACATTTGAATTTATGATGTCAGTTTGACGTCAGATGTCACTGCGTATTCACATCGACGTTGTACGTTAGTTTTTGGTTTTGACCGAACGCGAGATGGCGAGCGAATCTGAAATTGAGGACACACCCCCCCAATCTGAAATCGTTGGTGTGGCAGCATTTTCTGGTAATCACAAATGAAAATGGCGAGAAAAGCACAGACGACAAAAACTGCATGCAAACATTGTAAAAGACTGTTAACGTACACAAATAGCACAATGAACATGCTTCATGTCAACCGGCACCACAGTGAGCTCAATTCACCACCGCCAGAGCGAAGATTATTAAAAGGGCAAACCACGCTAAAAAGCTGCACATGCAAGCCTTAGTTTATTTGGTAACGCTTTACATCAAGTGCACCTTCATAATGCATTCATTATGCATTTATAGAACATTCAGTGCAACTTCATAATGCATTCATAGAACATTCATTAGCAGCATGCAAGTACACCTTAACATCCTAACATCCTTTAACAGCATTAATATACACTAATAACAAACATTACATGATTATGCAATTATAATGTTTGTTATTATTAAATAATGTTTGATATTAATTAGAGGTCGACCGATGTATCGGTTTTGCCGATTAATCGGCACCGATAGTTGATTCCCGGAACTATCAGTTATCAGCAAAAATCCACGCCGATAGTTTTTCCGGGTTGCGTCAGAGCTGAAGCGGCTGAGAACGGTCCGTTGTCCTTATACAGTGCGAGAGCCAACATATATATCTATGGCAAGAGCCGCCTCTA